TCTGTCCGACACTGAAAATCCGTTGTATTGTAAAATTCGTTATATCAAAATTCGCTGTAGAAAGAGTTGACTGTATACAGTTTAAAAGATAATATTATTATATAAAACATCTTTTTATGTATCCTTTATTTTTGTTATTAGAAAGTATAATTAATGGACATATTCTATTATAATATCAAATGCAGTTTATTCTGCTGGTTGTAATAGGTTATCAGATTCTTTGATTTGTATAATAAATCATATATATTTTAATTCTAGTTTTGGTATTAAGATATTTTATTATAAAGTCCTTCTTTGTGATAGTTTCACTTGGCATTTACTTTCTTATATAGATTTTTATATCCTGTTGCCAAATATATCTTTAGTAGTTACTTTATATATTTTGTTAAATATATATATATTCTCAGCCACTTTAATAATTTGCTGACTGATTACATTTTTTATTTTTATTAATACTAATAAAAAGTATATCATATTTAAAAATTAGAAAAAGCAATCAAATTCATGAAGTTATGATAATAATAGAACTGAAAAATGATATTAAATACTTAAATACAAACTATATATTGTAATAAATTAAAAAGTTATCTTATAGATCACATGATTTTTACTTTGTCACAAAATCCATCCAATCAGCTAAAATTGGCAGATCCTCAAAATCTGTCTAATCTGCTAAAACTGGCAGATCTGCCAAATATGCTAAATCTGCAAGATTGACTGAATCTGCTATATATGTAATATACTGTATGTCAGATATGCAATAAAAGACCAATTATTATATTTCTTATTTTTCTTATTTATATTTTTATCATTTGTTATTTATATTATCAAATTTCTTATAAATAAGATAGCTTTAGAACTTTGATAACAAGAGATTTTCATAAGAACTTTTAAGTAGAGAATTTACTTAGTTTTATCGTTAACAAGATAATTACTAAAAACACTTGCATGCTAACAAATACACTTGTAATAATTATTCTATTTAATAAAAGTTTATCATTTACCTATAATCACATTTGTCTCTAAAAATACTTTTGGATTGTAAACCTTTAGAAGCTCTCCATAAAATTGTATTATAAAGTCTTAAAGCTAAATCCTTTGTTAATCTTGCGTCAATACTAATTTTCAGTTGTTAGTATCATAAGATAACAATATAACATTTTTTACATTGCATTTTACTATGATTAAACATATTAAAATTTGATAAAACTTTGCAAATGAAGAAATTTAAACTTTTATATAAAAAAAATGGTATGATATGTAAATCCTTAAAAATTGAATATAAAATTGTAATAGTGATAGATAATTTTATTTTATAATACTTTATATAGATCATATATAATTATATATAAATTAGTGTTGTTCAAGACCTATTTCAAAAACCAAAAGAAAGAAAGTTATGTTATACAAACCTTTTAATTAATCTGACTTTTAATTGATCAAATTTTTGGTTAGAAAGTAATCATATCCCTTATGCTGAATAGTTGGTTTTGTTCAATTTCTTTTAATTTTATTTAATTATAGTCTAGCATAATGCAATTAGTTTTTACTTTTCTAGATAGATATTTTTATTTTTTTCTTATCTTACTTTTTATATTTGTATAACAATTGTCGATTATTTAGGGTACCCTTTTATTTATCACATCTTATCACATCACCACTATTTTTATTTTTTACTGAGGACTTTGAAAAAACAAGCTGCCAAAAAGGAAAACTTAGGACATTAACAAATATATGGGGCTTTTGCAATAGAAAGGGGAACTGCCGGAAAAATAAAAAAATAAGTTAATGCTAAATTTGAACAAATAAAGTGTGAAAAAAAGGTTTATCATAAATTTTTAAGAATCGAATCACATGACTTTGTATAACGTATTTTTAGGTTTGCCCTTAAAGCTAATACTAACTTTATCTGGGAGCTTATGAGAAGAAAATCAGATATTAATATATACACCTTTTGTCGTTCGTTTTGTGTTGATCAAATATCTTTATAACCCAATTGCTATGGAGAATTTTAATTCAAACACACCCGAATACCAACGATTTTTGATGGACCGGAAAATCCTCGGCGAAGGTTATCATCCTGCTGCTGCTGCCGTGGCTGCCAACCTTGGATCTTCAAGGAGTGTAATTGGAGGAGTTGGAAATGCTATTGCAAGTTCTTCTATTTCCATTGTTCAATCTGGGTCCGGCACCGCTGTTGCAACTACCAGTAGTGGTGCAACTACTACAGCAAACATGACAGAATTTACAAAGAGAAAGAATTGGTCACAACGGATCATTGAAGAATTAAAAGATTTCTTGCACGTCATTTCACCAACGGGAAAACTTATGTATTGTTCACCTTCTTCAACAGAACTGGTCGGTTATACTCCGGAAGAATTAGTCAATCGTAACATAACGGACTTTATACACGTTGATGACATTGATATGTTCCGTAGGGATTTTAGTTTGGCCATCCAAAATAAGACTAGTTTTACTCTTTACTATCGATTTCGCAAGAAGGATGACAAATTTATAATCCTTGAGGTTAACGGTCATCCTTACTTTGGTGAAAGTAATTCAACTGGTAATTGTAAATGTTTTTATAGTATGGGTAGAGCTTATCCATCAAAGACAACAGCAATGTTAGATTCATTTTTGGAATTAAAAGTTGAAAATGAAAATTTACGTCGTCAACTTCGTGAGTTAATTGGACCATCAGAAACTCCAGCTGAGGCTAGTGGCAGCGGCAGTATCAGCGGGATTAATACTACTACTCCTACCACCACCGGGGGATTAGCTGCTGGGGCTGTTATCCCTGAAGGACTTCATGATACAAGTAATCCGTTAGAATATTTGACTGGTTTACGATACCAGGAGGGTGAGCGTGCCAGAGGAATTTCCACTGGCTCAAATGACCCAACTTTACTGAACGAAAGTTTAATGGCTGTAGATATGGCAAAATCGTCTTCAAGAGACGACAACCTTTTATCTACGCAAACCTCCGCCCAACACGAACCTGCTTCTCAACCTTCAACGATTACCACAACTTCTTCAAGATCACGAAAAAAGGTTTAATATCTTGACTAGGGATCGTGATCTTTTTTTTTAATTTTTTATTTATTAAAAAAAAAACTTTTTAGAAAAAGCCTAAGGTCGAGGAAGAAGAATATGTCTGCACGGATTGTGGTACAGTGGAATCACCGGAATGGAGAAAAGGACCACTAGGACCAAAGACGTATGTGATGATACTTATTTTATTCTATTTTAATTTGTTTATAAAATCATTACTAATTATTTTTTTAAAAACCATAATAATAATTAAAAAATAATAAATGAAAATAACGTGATACCGGGATTATATGACTTTTGCAAATCTGAAAATTGCAATATTCATTATTGCAAAATGTCATTTTAAAGGTTATGCAACGCCTGTGGTCTTAGATGGGCCAAGAAAGCAAAGAGACAAGCTAGTGGTAATGGTGGTAATGGTGGAGGACCAACACAACCTCCCCCTCCATCAGGTATTGATACTGGAGGTGGTGATTAGTAGTTTAAGTTTGCAATGTATCTTTTCATTCATTCATTCATTCATTCATTTTTTTTCTGTATATTATTGATAACTCTAAATTTTTTTTATAACTTAAATTATTTTTTTTTACCTAGCATTTATTTATTAACTTTAATTATATTAATGTCTACAAAAAATGTTGGTATTTAGTAATCATTTCAAGGTTTTATTTACTAAATATCAATTAACGAAAAGATCTTATTTTTTCTGATTTATTTTATATATTTTTTTTAGTAGAATGTCAAAATTTCAAAATATATAATAATGAAAATTTTAAATAATGTTTATTATCACTATATAAATATATTATTATTTTTTTTTTTATATTATACACATGAATTACATGAATTAAATCGCAATTAACAACTTTTTTTGTTCCCGAAATAATTTTTTTTTAATGCGCATGTTGTTCAGCCATGCAATTCAAAGCTGATCCTGCCTTAAACCATTCAATTTGATTATTATTAAATGTATGACTAACGGGAATGTCTACCGTTTCCCCAGATGTCTTATTAAGTCGGAGTGTTAAATTTTTACCAGGAGCAAAGGAAGTAAGACCAAGAATAGAAATTTTATCCAATGGATCGATCTTGTCGTAATCAGATGGATTGGTAAATGTCAATGGTAAAAGCCCTTGTTTCTTAAGATTGGTTTCATGAATACGTGCAAAGGATTTTACAATTACAGCTATGCCTCCCAAGTGTCGTACTTCGAGTGCAGCATGCTCACGTGATGAACCTTCGCCATAATTTTCATCTCCGACCACAACCCAGGGAATACCTAAAAAAAAAATTAGGAAAAATGCTCAATTTTTCGAAGATTAAAAATAAATTAATTATAATTATGTCAAAAGTTTTTACCTTTGGCTTTGTAGTCACGAGCAACGTTAGGAACGGCATCATACTGTCCATTGTTAATATTTTTGACACTATTAACAGCACCGTTCTCAGCGTTGACAGCGCCAATCAACATATTATTTGAAATGTTATCTAAATGTCCTCGGAATTTCAACCAAGGACCGGCCATGGAAATATGATCAGTAGTACATTTTCCCTTGACTTTGATTAAAATGGGTAATCCTTCAGCATCCTTTCCATTCCATTTAGAGAATGGTTGTAATAATTGAAGACGTTTGCTTTTTGGATCTACCACAACTTGAACATTTAAACGATCTTTTGGAGGTCCTTGGTAAGTATTTTCACCGGGATCATAACCTCGAATTGGTAATTCACTACCTTTTGGATCTGTAAATTTGAAAGGATTTCCATTACCATCCTTGAGTGTATCGGTTACAGGATTGAATCGAAGATCACCCGAGAAAATGAATGCAGTTACGATATCTGGAGATGCCACAAATGCATGAGTAGCAGGATTGGCATCATTACGTCCCGTAAAATTTCTGTTGTATGACGTAATGATTGAATTCTTTTCGCCTTTTTTCACATCTTGACGATCCCATTGTCCGATACAAGGACCACAAGCGTTAGCAAGAACAAGACCACCTGCCTCTTTTAATATCTTTTCTTGACCATCACGTGCAATGGTAGCCCGAATTTGTTCGGATCCAGGCGTAACTGTGAATATCGACTTTGCTTTTAATCCATGGTCGATGGCCTGCTTGGCTATTGAAGCTGCTCGAGACATATCTTCGTATGATGAATTTGTACATGAACCAATTAACCCAACCTTCAACTCTGTTGGCCATTCATTTCGAACCACCTCATCTTTAAATTTACTTAAGGGAGTTGCAAGATCAGGCGTGAATGGACCATTAATATGAGGTTCTAATTCTGATAAATTAATCTCAAAAACTTTATCATAATGTGCTCCTTCATCAGCGCGCAAATTATGAGCAAAGTATTCGGAGTAAGATGCAATATCTGTGCGATTTGTGGCATGAAGATATTCACTCATACGTTTATTAAAAGGGAAAAGTGATGTGGTGGCACCAATTTCGGCACCCATGTTGCAGATTGTGGCCATACCAGTGCATGATAAAGATTCAACACCCGGACCAAAATATTCAATGATCGCACCAGTACCACCTTTGACTGTCAAAATACCGGCTACCTTAAGAATAATATCTAATAATATAAAAAAAAAAAAAAAAAAAATAAATTTTTTCATTACCAATTTAATATAATACTATCATTTAGTAATTGATATTTTACCTTTAGGGGCTGTCCAACCACTTAATGTACCGGTTAATTTAACACCAATCACTTGCGGGCATTTTAATTCCCATGGAATATCGGCCATGACATCGACAGCATCAGCACCGCCAACACCAATGGCAACCATACCCAAACCACCAGCATTAGGTGTGTGAGAATCTGTACCAATCATAAGACCACCTGGGAAGGCATAATTCTCTAATACAATTTGATGAATAATACCAGAACCGGGACGCCAAAAGCCAATATTATATTTAGCAGAAGCAGTCGCCAAAAAATCGTATACTTCTTTATTAATATCCTTCGCACGAGCCAAATCTTTTTCTCCGCCTATCTGAGCTTCAATCAAGTGATCACAATGTACAGTCGTAGGTACTGCGACCTCTGGCATACCAGCAGACATGAATTGAAGAAGGGCCATTTGTGCTGTAGCATCTTGTAACGCGACGCGATCGGGACGTAATTTGAGATATGATTTTCCGCGCTCAATATCTTGTCCGTGAGGATCATCCAAATGACTATATACAACTTTTTCAGCAAGTGTTAACGGCTTATTAAGTCTAGAAAAATATTTCGAAGGGAAAAAATGATTCATTAATATCATTTAATCAAGTTGATAACAAAATTGATAATTGAAAAGCTCATTACCGATTCTTAACTATGGCCAAATTATCCTGAATCCTTTGGTAATTGATATATTTATCTTGTTCAAAGTTAGATATCTTTATCTTTTTATTTGAAATGTCTCCCGCGAGAACTTGTGCATAATTGCGAGCATGAATCTTTTTAAATGGGGAAGGCGTATTCTATAATTATCACAAGAATTAATTCGCAATATTTATAAAACGCGTAAATGTGAATTTGTTCTTGAATATATTAAATATCCATAATTCTATTATATCATTATTTAAACTTATAAGAACAATTGTTTTAAAAAATTACATACCCTTAAAATCCTCGATAATTGACGAGTGATCATTTTTTCGTTTCAAAAGCAAAAAAAGATGGCTAAACTTGATTTTATCAAAAATAAAAGTGATTATTTAAGTGAAATTTTTTATCAAATGATAAATTACAAATCAGATCAGATGATCTAGCATAAACTTCAAAAGATAAACTGATAGATTATCGACTTTTTTTTTCCAGGTTTACACAAGATACAAGAACACTATACGTCTCGTTCATTGATCAGAATGTCGATCTATCCTCTGTACAAGGAGATTTTTCCGTCAACGGTGGTTGACAAAGTAGTTTGTGCCGCTTTTACCTCGCCTAGCGACGTTAATGTAATAGTTGCACGAACATCCATCTTGCAAATTTATAGATTCATCGAAGATATCGAGCTTATTGCTGAAGAGAATGCTGCGGAGGATGAAAGCAACTTAACTCAAGAACTTGGTAAAGATGACGATCAGGTAAGCTGATGTTTAATTAGCTTTTTTGAATGGGTTTAAGTGCAAATTATCGATATGGGAATAAAAAAGTATGGCAGAGTAATTTTAGATAAAAGAAAGCTTTGAGAATCTAGGTTTTCCGTTTCCGAATGGTCAAAATCATTACGTTAATATCATTGAATCAGAAACAAATCTAAGTTCGAATCGAATCTGAAGTTATCCTTCTTTCTTTCATAGATCATGTTCATGTTTGTCGAGATTTTGTAATTTTACTGTGACTGAAATAGTATCATTTTATAGAACATTATTTAGAGATAGTAATTTTTTTTGAATGGATTTAGGGGGTTGATAAAATAGTTGATTGAGCTAATCAAGTGTAATAGAATTCAAAATTTAAAAAGAATAATATATATTAATAAATTTTTAAATAAAAAAATATTTTTTTATACCAAAAAATCATGTCCAAATTTTTTGTGATCTTTTACATATTTTCCCTGATTTCACCTCTTCACTGTTATAATCAATCATAATCACAATTTATAATGCAGAATTTCCTGTTTCCAACACTCAAACCGGCTGCAAACCCATCATCTTCAAAGACTGCACATCTTGAACTAGTCGCACAATATAAACTTTTTGGTAACATAGCCTCTATGGGAGTTGTGCGAACGATTTCCTCGGGCATTAATGGCATGGATAGTCTTTTATTAAGTTTCAAGGATGCGAAGGTCTGTTGATAAAACAATTAAATAAATAAAATAAGTCTTGAATTAGTCAAATAAAAAAATATGATGGTTCTTTTAACAAATATAGGTATCCCTTCTGGAATGGTCATTGGCAACAAATAGTATCGTTACAGTTTCAATTCATTATTATGAACGTGAGGAGTTTAAGGTATTTACTCAAGTAACGATGCATGTTTATGATTTAGCAATTCTTTTGATATAAGGTTTAATATACTAAATAGGTTTAATATTCTTTTAGACTGAATTTCTGGCAAACACTTGCACAACTGAGTTAAAGGTTGATCCTTCCAATAGATGTGCAGCTTTGAACTTTTATGGTAATAAATTGGCAATTCTTCCATTCCGTCAGGAGGATACTTCAAATTTATCTGAAGAAGAAATCACTAATATCGCCAGGTAACATCTCTCTATCTATCTTTTTTTTCTTAAAAAAAAAGAACATATGATTTTTGGTTTATGAAAACAATATTTATATGCTATTTACATTCGATTAGTAATTTACCATATTTGCAAAGTATCGTTTTTGATGTATCTTCTATTGATTCACAAATTAAAATTAAGAATGTTATTGACATGGAATTTTTATACGGATGTCATGAACCCACTTTGGCGATACTTTTTGAATCTTATCAAACATGGCCGGGGTAAAATATTATTTTCACTTTTTTTTCATTCTGATTCGAACATTGAACTAATTTAATTTGCCCATTACGGTTTTCGAAATAAAATAGCAAATCGAATTCAATAAAAGACACATGTTCAGTTATTACAGTGACATTAGACATTTCTAAACAAAAATACCCTGTCGTATTTGCACGGGACACTTTACCACAAACTTGCTTAAAGTTAATATCAGTCCCAGACTCTATGGGCGTTATAATAATCACTTCTGATGCCATAATTTATATTGATGATAGTTCATTAGGAATTGGAATAGCTGTTAATACTTATGCATCTTCAACAACAAGGTTCCCATTAGATAAAACATATGAAAATCTTGGACTTGCCTTAGAAGGGTCTTGTCATGTTATTTTGGATAATAAGGACATATTGCTTTCTTTAAGCGATGGCAACTTATATGTGATCAAATTGTTGGAAAATGAAGAAACGGTGACGGGAATTCGGTTTGAAGAAGCAGGCAATAGTACATTTCCGTCATGCGCTTGCAAATTTTCGAAAGGATATTTCATTTTAGGCTCGAGGTTAGGTGATACCCATTTAATTAAGTATTATTCTTCGAAAAAGGATCAAGAGAAACAAAATACGAACGGTGCAACAAACAACAATAGACAACCGATAAATAACTCAATGGATGATGTTAGAAAATCTGCTACTAGTTCTCTTGAGATGTCAGATTATAAATTTATAGTGTGTGATACTCTTGTCAACGTTGGTCCTATTGTAGATATGGCTTTTGGTGAATTAGCTTATCCGGAAGTAAGAACAATATAGTATCAAATTTTTAGTATTTTTAAGATCTTTATGGAATTTTTTTTTTTAAAAATATAGGAAGAGTCTCAATTACATATAATACAAAAAAATCTCGAAATAGTAACTTGTTCTGGGTATAATGAGGAATCATCACTTTGTGTATTTCATGTAAGAGACCATTTACATTGTATGAAATCATTTGATTTTTAAGTTAGATATTAATAAGTTATTGTTGAATTCAGAGAAATGTAAACCCGATCGTGAATAATTCTTTTCCAATGGAAGATTGTACAAATATATGGACAGTTTCGTGTCGGGATTCAATGTTTGCAGGAATTTCTATGGAAAATTCAGGATCAAAGATTGATTCTAATAATGGAATCAATAGTGATTTCTTTGATAAATATCTTTTTATTTCAAAGAAAGACAAAACGATGGTAATTTATTTATTTATTTATTTTGATGCATTTTCTTTTTTGCGTTATGTTATGATGTAGCTTATTATCCTTGATTTAATAGGTTTTAGGATGTGGTGAAGAATTGCAAGAACTTCAACAAACAGATTTTTATACGGATGGTCCAACAATAAATATCGGATGTTTGATAAACAGAACGCGTATTTTACAAGTATACGATCATGGTCTTCGTTTTGTAGATAATGGTAAGTAATTTCTTCAAACTAATAAATAAATATAATAAAACTGTCGAGCTATTTCTCATAACCCTATGTTTTTAATGCTTCCAGAAGGAAAACTTACACAATTAATTCCAATCGATGAAACATTTGAAAAAGGCTTGGTTGTATTTGCAAGTATTGCGGATCCATATGTGTTATTGCTATTTGATAATGGAGATATTGCATTGATGAAAGTAGATGAAAGAACAAAAAACATTGAAGCGTGTTCACAGCCCGAACGAATTAATGTGAGATAATCTTTTTATTATTTTTTTTTTTTACAGTTTACATAAAATTTATTTTTTGTAGTAAATTTACTTTAGTTTAATTAATCTTTTTGATAGGTTATCCCGACAGTATCTTGTTGTATATATCGAGATGATTCAGAACTTTTTTCTCTTGTTAAAGATGCAACCCCAAAATCCTCTCTTTCAAAATCAGAACATCAAAGCAAAACATCTACATACTTTTCACCCATGAATTTGGATGATGATGAATTCGATGATTTATGTAAAGGTTTTGAAACTCAGAATTTAAATGAAAGCAAAGAAAATTCTATGGAAATAGATGAGGAAGTTAAATTAGATGAAACGCCACAAGTTATGGGTGAAGTTAATGAAGAAAATGTGAGCGGTAAAGTTGAAAATGTGAAAGAAACAACTTATTGGTGTGCGTTATTTAAACAGGATGGTTCTTTAGAGGTATTAATATATATCTATCGTAAATGTTTCCTGTCAAGAATTATATAACAATGTTTTAAAAATAATAAATTCTAATCCTTATAATTAATTTATTCAGATTTTTAAGCTTCCCGAATTCGAAGAGGTTTTTCTTTTCCCACATTTTGACTTGTCGCCAGCAGTTCTTGTCGATTTTGCTTCCCGACAGAATTTAAATTCTACATCACAAAAATCCGAAATAAAAGAAATTTTATTGATAAATCTTGGAAAAAGATCGAAGGAACCTTATTTAGTTGTAAGTATTTTTTTTTCTTTTTTATGCACATGTTACATGTTTTAAGATATCACAACGACCATTTTAAACTCAACGTGGTTTTCCTAACTAGTTTTCTTTATTTAATATTTTCATAGGCGCGTACAAGTGTTGGAGATATAATTATATATAAAGCCTATCAATATATTCCCGGCAGCGATGTATTTGATCCTTTTCAAAAATCACAATCACAAGCCGAATTGTCTGAACGTCTTGCAATACGATTTTCGCGAGTTTCCCAGGAATATATATCACGCGATACTATCTATAGTGATATACATGATAAACCCGTCTCTAAAAGATCTACTCAACAAGAGCCTAGTAAAAATGATATAGACCAATTTGATGATGCAACAGAGAGACAAAATTTTCGACTTGGGCAAATATCACGAAAAATTATACCCTTCTTAAATGTTGGTGGATATAATGGAATTTTTGTAGCTGGTGTTAAACCTGCATGGTTATTAATAGCAAATAACAATTTTTTGAGATTGCATCCTATGAGTGCTGATGGTGAAATCAAATGTTTTACTCAGT